CCCTGTTACTCCGTAAATGTACACGGTTGATACTTACATACATATACACGTGTACGTGGGTGGGAATATATATATATATATCCCGACTTGGCGCACGCGTCGGAGCAGCGACGGCACTGGGAAGGCGAACGACACCGGCATCCAAGCAAGTGCTCAGGGGTTCCCAACGCGATCTCGGATTGTCCCGGCAGCAGCTGGCTGGTCAGCTGATCGAGGCTCTCTCTCTCTCTCTCTCGGTGATTCGTCCCGCGGGGCTCAGTCGCGGGCTGGATTCTGTGTACATGCACGCACGGGAAATCTCTTTTGCAAACTAAAGCCATTAACGCGGTGCCGGTGACTTGGGGGCGTTCGGGGATTGTGGTGTGCAACGCGAGCACGCATCCATATGTACACGTACTGACCGAGCTTTTTGGGGTCGAGCTTTGGCCTGTAGAGTGTCTCGTTGGGTTATTGTCGTCCTATAGGTAAACCTGGCGCTGTTTTTTTTTTTCTTTTGCTTTGTGTTTCGTGTAGTATATGACGAATGCATGGAGGCAGGTTGATTCGGGGGAGCTTTTTGATAGCGATGATCGACGTAATTTCGTCGTTTATGGATAAATGCTTCTCGTCTTACTGGGTCGGATTACATCTACTGTTGTCGGTCGTGCACAAAGTCTTGTCAGTGACGGTGCTTGCATGGCTTGATAGCTAGTTATTCCCACCCACGTGAACGCGTGTATTCAAAGAGTATTAGTTGAAAAACCCCCAAACGAGTCTGATTGTGAAACATTAAAAAATTGTTTTAAAAGTAATAACTTTTATTTCTGCTCAATTTTGATTTTTCAAGAACATTTTAACCATCAAATATCATGGTCTTGTATCGACTTTCCAATAATCTGCCCCTGTTTCAACCAAATTCCAGAGCTCTCTTTTATCAACGAAAGCAACGATGCTTCGCTTGTTGTCGAAACACCACGGCTTTTTACACAATTAATTGTCATAAATCGAGGCCTCTTCGATCACACGAGATTCCTCAACTCGGCAGGTCAACAAACTCCTCGACCCACAACGACTCACTGGCACGAAAAACCAACCCACGCCGTGATTAATTGTCTTTTATGCCGACAAACGCCGACAATTACACATACATATACCTACATCGAGCTCAATATATATACATATTTATACGAGTGCCAGCATTAAATAATTAAAAAACAAAAACAACAGAGAGCAAGACGAGTTGTCCGCGTTATGGAATCTATAATACACCTTTCGTTCCATGGTAATTTTCACGTGTGCCCCACACGATTATGTTGTACGTATACCTTATGCATACACACACAGAATGACAATCGAGTCGGAGACCCAAGCACGTATTAAGTAGAGTAATAGGAGCCGCAGGAGGAGGAGGAGGAGGAGGGCGGGGCGGATAGTTCTTAAACGAGTTCGGAGTAGATTAGCGTAATTGACAAATAGAGCCTTTTGCTCGGGCACGAGGGCAATTAAGGGAGGCGAGAGAGCAAAGTTTCGACGAGGCCGGTGCTTGGAAAATTTTCAAACTTGTTGCTCTCTCTGCCGCTGCTGCGGTCATTGTCGAGGAGCTCTTTTCGTGGCCCCTGGCTCACACACTCTCTCTCACACACACACACACACACACACACACATACATTTGTATACAGTCACTTGCTTGATCTTGGGTCGCCAGAGGCTTGGTCTTTAATTGAGTTTTATCATTTCCTCGCTATGAGTACTTGTTTCGTCACCCGAAGGGACGAAATCAGGGTCCGAAGTGTAGCTTCATAATACAATGGCCTGAAAAGGTCCGTCACCCTATTATCAGGTAATATCGAGTCGTTCTTGGATTGAATGATCGGCGACTTATATGGCGTAAAAATTGAGCAATCCCACAACCTCTTGGACCGACGCGTTGAAATCAAAACACGTGACGACCCCTCCTCACCACGCACGCATACCCCGAGAGGAGATAAGATACAGAGAGCGTCCCCCAGAGCCTTGCATTTGTCACGAGGGACAGGCTGGATCCTGAATATGCTCATCCCCTCTCCTTTACACACCCCCAAATTCCCTTCCTATTGTAATGTATACACGTAGATCTGTATATATATCTATGGCACGTCCTCGTAACCCTTTGTTATGACTGGCGAGGCTGGATTTTCGTTGTTCCCTCGACCCCTCTTTGGCTCGTTATCGCTGTCGTAGTGATTATTATTACCATTGTATATGGCTCCTAAATACGTACCCTCTGTCTTATTCCCTGTTTTACTCGTATGAAGCTTTAAAATTTTATTGGTTATCGAAAGGACCTCTTCTACAACGAGGACTTTGAAATGTATGTGGATGAATTAGCTGGCGTTAATAAGGCCAATAACACCAGATGATTTTCCAGAATTCATCGACTTCATATTTGGCATGGAAAACAGTTTTTTTTCATTCGCTGTAATATTGGTTTTCACTGGTTTTTTACGATGGTATACGATGAAAATTAAGGATGTTGATACAAATTTAAAGAAAAAAAATATGTATATTCCAGAAATTTTAACAAGAAATAAATCAAACCGTCAAATGAAAGAAAATCAATGTAAAACATGACAGGTTTTATCTACTCGAAGAATTCGAAAGTGTGGTAAAGAGAGAAAGTTCTCGAAAAATTTCTTGTACCAATCGTTTAGAAAACCAATTGCTAAATTATTATGCGTTTTTGACATTTATTTCGTAAAACGTAAGTAAAGAATTGCAAAACAGCATAAAAAAATTTAAATTGTGGGAAAAAAATTCACAACCTATTACACGAGCTTGATTGCACAATCTTCATCAAAACCATCATCGCCTAAAATCCCTACACCACACTCACGTTCAAGTTCCCACCCGAAGATAGTAATCAAGCCACCTCGCAATTAATCACCGCACAAACGCGAGCGCCTGTATACAGTTTTCCTCTCTAATGATGCAAAGAATACATGATGTCTTTATCATCACGTGTGATTTATGGGCGCAAACGATAACACCTGTTTAGAAGACGCACGGAAATTAAAAAAAAAAAAGGTGCAAGCTTTTGTTTCGATAAGATGCATCGGGTGTCGGTTTTTTAACGACATCGTCTCCTGCGCTTGGCTATAACTTTTGTTAAACCTCGGCGTGATTGATGAAGCGCGGGGCTAGGCGCGTTTTAAACATGACTTGTAACAATTAGGCGTTGTTGCTTTCGTGCATTCGACACCTGATTCTTTTTTCCAATTTTTTTTCCATCCAGTGGACCCTATGTAAAAACACTCGGAGATGCAAAACTAAAAACTGCAAGTAGAAGGCTGGTAGAGAAAATTGAAGGCTGCGTACTGGTTCAATAATAATTACAAAACAAAACAAAAATACAGCTACCAAAAACCGGTATGCAGCACACCATACTTCGTCCATGTGCAATATACCGAGTACGAGAGAAAAATCGGCGTCTTATGCAAATCGACGCTGTGGTTATCGAATTCGACGCGATTGCGCCAAGAAATTATAACTCGAAGGAAAAAGGGGGGGAATAAAAAGAGAGCCTTAAGTTTGAAAGCTTACAGAGGGAGAGATAGTGTCGGCACACGTCGATATTAAACGATTTACGGGCCACGAAGTGATGACACCTGATTACCAATTAATTAGAATTACATTCACTTGTGCGATAAGCAAGTGCAATTTAATGAACGTTCGAGTTACGTGTTGGTCGCTTATGAGATTTCAGGGTTTCTCTTCGATCCGTTGGTTTTTTTTTTTATCATTCTTATGGTCTGTTTTGATTTGAATGAACATTAATGTTACCGAAGTTCAAAGAAGATTAATTTTTTTTACTGTGCGTTACAATTTTTTTTTTTTTTTTAATTATCACTCGATAACATTGAAATGTATAATGGCACCATTGGCACCATTATTTTTTCGTAGCGGATAGTTGAAGTACTTGCTGACTTTTTTATGTTTGAAATCGACGTACATCAGATTTACGTCATCTTTATAAGTGTACCATGGGTTGAATACATCTAATGTTGACTTGTCAGTTGTCTCCCTTGAAAAAAAAAAATAAAATAAATTGCATGTATCTTACATTTTTACAATCTTTTGTAACATGTGTTATTTAGATTTTGCTCAGAGCAAAATAAACGTGTGGAATACGTTTTGTCACACGTCATTGTTTTTTTTTTTTTTTTCATCTAAAAATACATGAGTACAAGTCTGCGAAGTAATCGATCTTGCCAACCGCGTAACGTTACAAAATAAATTGTCACCCTCTTGTTTACGCGACCAAGTAAATTGATTTACTTGTCATCAATTTTATTCTTGATAACATTTGCCATCGATCGAAAATCAAAACAATTGTTTTATTTCAATACCCGATACTTTGACGATATTCTATAAAAAGGCTTAACGGTAGCCTCAAAATCCACGCCGGAGCGAGCGAAAGAAATCAACTTCTTCAACAAACATCATTAAAGGACGAAAGTATACAACAAGTACCTCTAGAGCACACGTATACTCACGTATACCTGCGGGAGAAGTGTTTCCTTTTGATTCCTCCTCGCGTATACAATACCCCTTTCTCCGCCGCGCTACTTCTTCTCCCCATCCACTTTGTATTATATCGATGACAACGAGATACGAGTCTTCATACAAATGAACGTATAGCATGAACCAATGGAATTTATTTATTTTTTTTTTTTCCTCGTCCCCGTTATTCATCGCTCGCCTCTTTGATGACTAGGTCGGAGTTGTTGGTTATTATCGTTGGACAAAAAAATATTTACTCCGTAGACGCTCATGTACGGTACTCCAGTACGGAGTACACATTTCGACACGCATAACAGGAGATGAAGAAAAAAAAAGAAAATTGTTTCCATGTCTTTTTTTTTTTTTTTTTTTTTTTTTTAATGCTTTCATGTCTTATAATAAATTGTATGTGAAAAAAAAAATATTTCTAATAACACACTGTACACGGCACCCTAACATGACCGATCGGTCTCGTCTGACAGATCAACGTTGCCTGTCCCCAGGAGGCACACCCCGTATTACGGCCAGCCGGACTACCGATTTTACGAGCTCAACAAGAGGTTACAGCAGCGGACCGAGGTGAGTCTTTTTTTTCTTCTTCGATTTTAAATATAATATTTTTACAATCTGACGAAATCGATGATCTTTCAGTGTACTCTTTCTTTCCTCTTTTTCTTTTTCTAATACATAAATACAATCTTAATGTATTTACAATGTAGAGTTAAGCAAATCATGGAAGAAACTATGGCAGAAAAAGTAAGTCTCTGATGATGATGCGTTCAAATGTAGGATGCACCATCTATATCGTAAAGGCCTTAAATATCCGATTTGCCGAAGAAAATTTAATCATGAAAAAAGACATTTATATGAGAACAAAATCACTGTTATGCTCGCAATCATGACCATACGTGTATACAAAATATAAATCTTAATGCCCCTTTAGTACTTTTTTATTCCCCATGACTGGCAGAAAAAAAAAAAAAAAAAAAAAAGTAGTTCACCCGTTACCCGTTAGTATACCCACCGATGTGTATAGAAGGTACGCACATGAAGAATATTATCTGGGTCACCGATGCCCTCGTATACATGCACGAAAGCGCGTTCGGTTAAAGATCGAGGATAAGCGACGATACGTACAGGTTGACGTACAGAACATAATATGTTCATACACTATTATACTATTGTGCGCAACGTTAGGTATACACTCACACACACACCTACCTTGGTCTTCGACAACAACGCGACTTCTCGCGTCCATCGATCGATCGGTCGTTGGATCGGTTTGACCTTCGTAGCTCGGTGTGTATATTATATGTGGGGTCGTCGTATCATTGTTCTCGCTAGCGTGTAACTATGAGGTACAAGTACGTATACCTTCGTTGTTATCGCGGTCGCAGGTGCCGATTATGCTCAACGTTACCCACTACACACGACACGATGCACGAGCTAGTGGCATAGAAAATGAAAGCCCGCGATGTGTCCCTTCACTAAAATGGATTCGTGTTTTTTTTTTTTTTTTTTCCCTTCGGAGGGTATGATACGCGGAGGAGGAGGAACAAAGAGCGAGTTTTGCTCGGCTGTAATGGCCGAACTTGGACGATCCGTAACTTGGATGGTACTGGGAGCGCAGCCCGATAAAAGAAACTTTCGGAAGATCTTCAATTTCGGGCCTTTTTCCCCCTTATTTTATTTTCTTCGCCATATTTCGCCAAAGTTTCCGGTTGTAGCATTGAACTTTGGCCAAGAGAGAAGGAGAAGAAGAAAAAAAAAAGCTCAGCCGCGCGTTGGTTTATACGTGCGATCCTTCCAATTCTACTGTACTCGTATATACACCCCCCCCCCCCGGAATTCACAGGGACATCGGGGTGTGACAGATCTCCCCATATTTTATATACCATCGAGAGGAAAGAAAGAAAAAAAAGAATAAATAAATAAAGCTCCACCTGAGGGAAAATAATCGATTCCGCAAACAACCACACGCTTGTATTGGTATACAAGAGTGCGAGAGCGAAAGGCTCAACGAAGGGTGAACGGGCTCTATCATCAATCTTACCCTATGGATATAGGATGGTCCGAATGTACGTAAATACATATACAAATAAAGGGTTAACGAACTAGTGTCCCCTTCCTATTATTATTATCATCATCCCTTGTGGTTAGTTTCATTTGGTGGAATGCACCATTAAACTTGTTACATAAGTTGTGCGATGGGTGCACGTGTTCTCATATTATGGAGCTGTATATAGAGATTAAAGATCGCGGGTTTGGCTGCAAAAGTTTCGTCGCGCTTGTTGACTTTGAGAAAGCCACGAATGAAACAATTTTTGGAGCACACAGCCTCCTTAAAAACATTCTCAGTCGCTAATCACTGTACGTGCATACATACATTAGACGCAACAAAGTATTTTTCTCAGCTCAGCTACTCCCCGTCCAAAAACGGCGGACGAACGTGGACTCACTCTTCCTAAAGTAACATCTCTTCGTCGTCTCTCTTGCACGCGTTTATCTGCATACATGGCATAGGCCAGGGGACACTAGAAGAGGAAAGGACTTGTATATCCTCCCAAACGCTTTCTTTCGCCTCAAAAGCCGCAAACCGCATGCAGTTCGCGCGTCCGGCCAAAATTCACGACCTCGCCTTGTACGCATATATACCTCTCTTTCTATGTGTATAGAGGAACTCCCAACGCAGCCAGCGGCTATGCTTCACCACTTTTGACGTGTCCACCGGACGTAAATCACCTTCGGTCCGTGCAATGTGCATCCGATCGCGATTCAGCGCAGACTATCGGTTGATCGGCTGAGATTACGTCGTTTGCTCTCTATTTTTTTTTTTTTTTTTTTTTTTTTTTTTTTTTTTTTTTTTTTATTTGGTGATATTGATCTGCTTTTTTTCGGGATCTGCGGTCGAAGAGACGGTATCAAACAGCCTTTCTGTTAAAAAACTTTATCGTGTACAGTTGTAGAAATGACAATCGTTTTTTTCTCTTTGACAATTTTACTGCAGTTCGGATGAAAACCATAAAAATCACTAATATTCCGTGACGTTAACAAGAACCTAATTAGGTAGGATCCATAAAATAAAATAAATAAATAAATGAAAATAACACGTCCAAGATGTGATTCGATAATACCACAGTTACACTTAGTTTGAGTGAAGTTGCACAATCTTTCAAGTTTTTATGGACAAAATTTGAAGTTTTCGCTAATCATCACGTGTACGTGTAAGATAAAAAATGAATTTTCTCAAAAAAAAAACGAGGATTCTGAGGTTCTGGTTGCGCAAAATGTGAAAATCTCAATACTTTTCGTTTCCCAACTCCGCTGAAACCGCAGTGAAAAGATGTTTGGTATAAAAACAAAACATTCACAGTGAAAATTCTTAGTAGTAAAAGTGTATCGAGTAGCTTATTTTTTATTTTTTTGTTTGTTAATCTTCCTATAAAATAGCCCGCAGTATTTAGGTCCATCACGATCATTTATACCAGCGTCGTGCCATACCAAAAGTTTCGCAAAATGCAAACTCGCATAAAAACACCATAAAACCCCAAAACTAAAAAGCTCAAAATATATTTTCGAAGTCATTTCCACTCGTTACTGGTACCTATACCCAACAGCGTCGATTGAAAATTCCGTAAAATAAAAAAAAAAAAAAAACCCGCGCAATCGAGAGACTGTGTAAAATATATTTAATTGGATCCTCGCGGTGGTGATGGTTAGCGCGAGATGCAACGAGGCAATAAACAAAACCCGTCCTCCCCCCAATGCGTCGTTCCGAGGAGGGAGGCAAACAAAAAAAAAGAGAGATATTACAAATCGAATCGGAAGAAACGAAAAAGGCAAAAAAGGAGCGGCAGCAACTCGAAATCCCGCGCGTATTTATCGATTCGCCGGGCGAGAGGTGAGGCGCTCGACCTGTATACCTGTTTTGCGTCGGTGTTGGCCGCGTCAGGTGTACGTAGGTGGCCAAGAAGGAGGAGAACAGGACGGAGGATGCACAGGTTATACACGAGAGGACAAGGAGGACGGAGCGGAGGAGGTAGAAGAAGGAGAAAGAGGAAGAGGATGAAAAGAAAAAGAAACAAAAAAAATCGTGCCGGAGCCAATGGAGGCGAAGGGACGCGGTGGTGGTGCCCTTGGCTGTTGAGGTTTTGAGTTTTTTTCCATACGATTTTGAGCCCAAGGGGAAATTGAATTTGTTTGCAAATCTTTTTTATTCGACTCGACTGAATTTTACTCGTTCGCTATCGAAAGATGGCCCTCATTGATAACTAGAATGTGGAGTTCTCACTTTTTTTCAACTCTATCCTCTTTTTTTGCGTGAGACAGCATCTCTCGCTTGCATTTTTTCTCATTAAAGGAACAAAAAACATCTAGGATCCTATAAGCAAGAAAAAAATATAAATGAATTAGAGAGGACGATAAGATCCAGCAAACGAAAAAAAAGGTGGTGAAGTAAGAACGAACTAGCTCTCCTTCTCTCTTTTGGAAAAAAAAAAAAAAAGACTCAAAGCATAGAAAGAAAATCGATTCCCCATTATATCCAGCGTCGAATTTTTCTCGACCTCCTCCTTTTTTTTCTTGCGCGCCAACGCCTTTCTCTCTCTCTCTCTTTATATATATATATATATATATATATATATATATCGGCT